CCACTAAATTAGTATAAGGTAAATTAAAAAAGAAAAAAAATCCCAAAATCCCACCGCACCGCCACCACCCACATTATTTCAACCGACGGAAGTGCTGTGGTAAGAAGCTTCGCTGCTCCAACACTCCAAATTATCATAGCTTTGGGTTGGTAGCAACAGCAACGCCCCCCACGTGCTGTCAAAATATCTGCCTTTCCTTTTTATTTTTCGCCTCAACTTTTAAATAATATTCCTACCTATATATAAGTCTCTCTTTAATTATTATCCAACTCTTTTGTACTTATAACTTATAATAACAGCACCCTACAAAAGTTGTGGTGCATTAACTTCAAATAGTACACCTTGTTTGATAGCTGTACTAATTAATTGTTGGGCATTCTTGGATTTTTGTTCCACGATTGCATCTTTTAAAATTTGATATAATAGAGATTGAAAGAGGGAATATAATAGATTCACTCAAATGTAGACGTATGACCAAACTAACGCTGGCTGGTTAGGCACAATGTTATATATTTTCACCTACAAAGTCGAATTACCTAATGAGAGGGGTGAGGATTGGTTCTATGATTTGGTTGCTCCAACATTTGGAGCTGAATTTTGGTTGATTCTGTATTAGCTGTTTTTGGGCACGTGCGATTGTGAAAGGAGAGAATATTGATACTTGAAGGAAAAGGAAAGGGAGAGAAGAGTAGAGTAAAGTTAAATGATGGGTGAGGCATTTTGTCAAACAGGTTGTGTTGGAGATGAAAGAGGATGGAGGGAGTAGTTATTAAAGTACAGGGGAGCTGTCAATGGACCCCTTTGCAGAAGAACGCGTGTCCATACCGTTATGATGTGAAGCATGTGATTTTGTGATACACCAATCTTCCGCCGACAAAGGACAAACCCCAACTTACTCCCCCATCATTTTTCCATTCGTGGCCGGTAAATTCAACCCATTTTGTTTTTTATTTATTTTTTATTTTTTACCACCATTTTAGTTGCCAATACTCTAATGCACTCTTAAATTTTTTTTTTTTTTTTAAGGATTATTTTTACAATATAAAATATAAAATTTTATAGACGAATACCACTCTATTAGAAAATTTGGCATGACTACCAATTAAATGTATGAAAGGTTTTCCAAATGGGCAGAGCCAAGAAGGAAGGAGTTCCCCTATTAATTTCTATTGTAATTTAAAAATTATATATTAAATACTTAATTTTGTCATTTTATTTTAATTTAATTCTCTAAAAGGTTAACGTATAAAATTTTGTCCCTTAATGCTTCACTCTACCTCTAATCATGAATAACCACACGAACAGAAAATTTGTACAAAAAGTTGATAAAAAGGAGGAGTTAAGCATTCGGGGACGCAAGAGGCATAAAAGAGAATAAAGAAGGCAAAATCCCACGCCATAAGAATGAAAAACACATTTGTAGTAATTAACGAAAAATCAGGGATCCCATAGGCATAGGCTGCTTGATTTTTATACTTTTATGATTTTTAGTGCAAACAAAAAATACCGTATTGATTGATCTTGCAATGGCGAATGATTATGCTTTTTTAAAGTGTTACTGGTCTTTTCTCCAACAAATATGGAGATGAGAGATTGAACCTCTGACCTCTAGAGAATAAGCAATGCATCTTGATCGAACTCACAACCTCCTAGTTGGAGATATATGTGAATTATCACTGAGTTATTGCTCATTTTGGCTTATAAGTTAATTTTATTAAGCATGGAAATAAAAGTCTCACATTTGTTAGAGAAAGAAAATATTCATGATACATGGTAGAGAACAAATATCTCCGCTGATACGAGGGATACGGTTTTAAGTGGAATGATCTTACATTTTTAAATTTAGTCCATTGATATTTAAAAAAGTTCAATTAAAATTTTAAATTTTGAATAATTATTATATTTAGTTTCTACCGTGAATGTTTCTTAGTGAAATTTTGACCCACACCCAACATATATTATTTCTAATGCTAAATTATAAAAAATGCCCTTCAACTTTGGGGTTGGTTTGAATTATACCCGTATCTTTTCAAAATTTTCAATTCTAGCATCCACCTATAAAATTTTTTTAAAACATCCTTTCATAAACTTTTCCATTAAAAATAAAACAGAAATGTGGCATGGCGGTAAATAATTGTAGATACTTATGTGGTACACCACATGTGCACATAAGTAGTTTTAATTTTGCACTTAAATTTATTTTGATAAGTTTCAATTATGCCCCACATATGATCAAAAGTTTCATTTGATCCTTTAACCTCTTAATTATAATTGTTTCAAAAAAAAAACCATTCCATTTACTTATTCATTAAAATGAAGACGTAAATGTGACATGACAATGTAAGTTGTAAAATAGAAATTACACATCAACACAAAGTATCATAGAATTTTAGTTCATATTAAACAGGGTGCGGATTAGGAAGGGAAGTAGATTTAGGGATTTGAGTTTTAGTCAAAAATTTATTTTTAAAAGAAGAAGCTGCATACTATGATTTCAACTATCGATAAAAATAAAAAATAACATATTGTTAAAATTGAATGAGTGTAGGAGGTTTAGAGATCAGAAAGCTCCATGAGAAGAATATGTTCTTAAGAGATATTTTGTGGAAGAGGGGTTTGTGTGGAAAGCAAGGGTCCAAAATGGAAGGTGCATTCTTGAAAGTTAAGAGATTTAGAGTCCGTTTGATAACGTGTCTGTTTTTTATTTTTGTTTTTTTATTTTTAATGAAGAAAATGTATTGTATGTTTTCAACCTCAAATAATTCAATTATGAGAATAAAAAATGAAAAACTTATTTTAGATGTTTCCAAAACTTTTATAGAAACAATAAACATGAAAATTTTATCTTGAGGTTCTTTAACTAATTTTTTTTTTTGGCAAATTAATGGGGGAGACCCTGGATTTTGTCCGTCATTCATGGTTTATTTCCCCTTCGAAAATTTTGTTTCCTCTCAATCAGTGAAACAATATTTTATTCTTCATTTTTTTAATGTGACTAGGACTATTCATTTTTTTACACGGCAGGTTTTAATCTTCATTTTAATAGAAAAGCTAATAGAAAATTTGTTTTGAATAATTTTAAAAATTAAGGGTCAAAATGAATTTTTTTAAACTATTTCATTCAAAGCTGATGGGCATAATCGAAATCTCTATATCCACGTGTACCTTTATTTGACAACTCGTCATCCAACTCATCGTCACATCATATTTTGGTTTTCTTTTTAATAGAAAAGTTAACACGAGTATTTATAATTAAAAAAAAAATCTCATTTTAAAAATTGAGGGTAGAATTGAAATTTTTAAAAGAATAGGACATAATTGAAACCTACCCTAATGTTTTTTAAATTGTATTTTGTATAATTTAACCGTATTTTCAATATGGGTAATTGTGATCGAGGAAGTTGGTGCGTCCAAATCATCAAATTCTAAACATTTTTCATGCCTACTTTACCAATTTACTATCTAAGATTCTTAACCAATAAAGTATGTAATATGACGAAAAAATTACATTAAAATATGATATCCTTTTGGCTCAATGTGGAAAGCACCTGCAACCAATAATTGATGGCATGCATAACGATGATTTTGTAAAAGGAAAAAAGAAAACAAAATAGTGTATAAAGTAGATTTCTAAGGTGGGGCTGCCAATTATTTTTCTTTTTGAATACTCAAACTCAATCAATACGGCTTTTAATTGAGGCCTCACTTTTCACTTTCGTTCTAAGCCATTGCCATTATATGTTTGTCACACCTCACCTTCATTTCCTTACTTCTTTTGGTTTCTATTTACAAGTATGTGCAAATATAATAATTTAAGAAGTGAATTACAATTTTATTATAAATCAACCACTAACTAATTCTTAATGACATAATTAAGTTATTGTTATTCATTATTGCTATTATTTCTTTAAAAATTCTCTTTAATCTCTACTTTACCTTTTGACGATCAATCGTTATTTATCGTGCTAATTAACCTTAAAAAAAATATTAAAGCTCCATTGTTTTGCAAACCTTATAAGAACTAACCTTTTTAAACGCCAAATAATAAAAATGAGTGTGCCATTGCAAATTCCTTTTATTTTATGAAGGGAAAGTTATCGAAATTGTCCTCTTTCTTTTAATTGAGATTAGTATTAAAAAGGGCTTTTTATTTTATTTTATACTCTTTTTGCTTTAGCTGAAAATCATTTCTTTAATGAGTCATTTCTTAGTAGACCTTTTTTTTTAAGAAATGTCTGTTAATAAATATGTTAATCATTTGTGTTTCTTTCCTCCTCATCTGAGCAATGAATGCATACTACTCTATTAACTTGTTTTTGTTTTCATATTTTAAAATAAAAATATAATGAAAAAAATTATTTACTACCTTGAAATATGTATTTATAAATAATTTTTGAAAGAGAGTACATTAAAAGCGGGGAAAAGTTATTTTCGGACAAAATAGCAAGGAAAGAAAGAAAGAAATTTTCTTAACTAAAAGCATTTTAAAAAAGAGCAATGAGAGAAAAAAATAAAGCATGCATTCAAATATTAAAAATGAATGGAAATAAAATTAAATGCGACTTCAAAAGGAAAAAACTTTTAGTTTATTTGAAGTACGTAACTATATATATATATAGGACTAGAATATTGAATTTTCAAATTCCTACTGGAAATTTTTAAAAAGAAAAAGAAAAAAAAAACAGGAAATCAGTCGTGTTGTCCTAACAGCCACAGGGATAGGACAGAGTGTAGCCATAAAAAAAATTGCAACGCAGGTGACGAGAGCGGTGGCAGTTTAGTCATTTAGACAACAAATTAAAGAAAAAAATAAATTAAATAGAGAAACATTCAGGAGCCATCGCTGTTAAAAAATCCGCGTGGGGTTCAGTAAAAATCTTGGGCGGTCCACCATATCAACCACGTTTCCAAAATACTGCCTTACGTTGCTCTCTCTTTCTCTCTCTATCTCTCTGTGTGAAAAGAAAACAACTTCCCATCCGCATGCAATTTCTAAGTAAAATCAGTTAATATCACGTGCTCTAATTTTTCTCATTCAATTGCATCGCCTAAATCTTTCCTATAAAACAGCGGTCTTGAACAAAACTTCAACCACACTGCTCGTTCCAACCCACCATTTCTTTTCTTCCCTTCATTTCTGTTTACTTTCTCCGCCCAGAAATCTCAACCCGCCGACAATCCGGACCTCCAATTTTCCCCATGGACTGGGTTCGAGGACATGAAATTGGACATGGCAGTTTCGCCACCATCAATCTCGCGCTGCCTTCTAAAACTTCTGCTGCTCAATTTCCATCATTAATGGCGGTTAAATCATCTGGAGCTGTCTGCTCTTCCTCGCTTAAGAACGAGAAGCAAGTTTTGGATCTTCTCGGTGATTGCCCACAAATTGTTCGGTGTTTTGGCGAGAGCTGCACCCTCGAGAATGGCGAGCAGTTTTATAATTTGTTTCTGGAATATGCTAGCGGCGGGAGTTTAGCTGATAGGATACAGACCCGCGGTGGTCGCTTGCCTGAATTTGAGGTTAGGAGGTATACGAGGACGATTCTCGAAGGGCTTCGGTATATTCACGGAAAAGGATTTGTTCACTGCGATGTAAAACCCGGGAATATTCTCGTGTTCGATGACGGGGATGTTAAAATTGCCGATTTCGGATTGTCGAAGAAAGCGGGAAAAAACAGAGCAGAAACAGAGCAAGAGAGGAAATTCCAGCTGAGAGGCTCTCCTCTGTACATGTCGCCGGAATCGGTGAGTCATAACGAGTACGAGTCACCTTGTGATATATGGGCCGTTGGATGCGGGGTGGTGGAGATGTTGACAGGAAAACCCGCCTGGAATTGCCGCCCGGAATCCAACATCTACTCTATATTGCTTCGAATTGGAATCGGAGAGGAGTTGCCGGAATTTCCTAAAGATCTCTCGGAGGAAGGGACGGATTTTCTCGGAAAATGCTTCATCAAGGATCCGACGAAGAGATGGACGGCCGAGATGCTTTTGAATCACCCATTCGTAGCAGACGCCGGAAAGTCTGCTCCACTGACGGCCATGGAGGAAGCATCGACATCGCCGAGGTGCCCTTTCGATTTCGAAGATTGGGCATCGGTTGAGTCGCAGGAGATGGATCAAAGATTTTGGTCGAATTCGTCGTTTTCGTCTTCCCCGACGGAGCGGCTGCTTCAGCTGGTGGACAACGAGGCAGTTGATTGGTCTGTCGCTGACAGTTGGGTCACCGTCAGATGATTTTAAATCGGGGTTTAATTCGGCAGTCAGTGGACGTAAAAGACGGAGGGATATCAATTACGATGGGGTTGAGGAAATTTTTTTTGGAGGATCTTCAATCGAAATCGAAATGAACGGTGCAGGATTCATTTGGTTTGTTGATTAATTTTAATATGTGTAAATACCTAATTTGGTGAAAGATAGATAGGTATACACACCACACGGTTGAGTTGATGGATGGACACACCAAATATGGTGTGGTCCACTGTACATAAAAACAATTTCTTCGTTGATATGTGAAACAATTAAATAAATAAAAAAATCATTGCTTTCCCATCAAAGTCATAAACGTGAAAGTCTTATAAACTTTAAGATTTTATCAAATATCCTTCTTAAATTAAAAATTAATTGAAATAATTTGTGAGAAAATATTAATTAATCTGACAAATCCGGCAAATACCTCAATTGGGGTCAATTTTCTCTTCCCAATTTGACCAATTGTTCATGGATTGAGTTTAATGTTTATATTCATCACGCTTAGACATGTATTTCCTAATACACATTTCAAGAAGGATGATTATTGATATATAATTAAGTTAAAGTTATTACGTTGAAATATTTAATCTTACGTTCATACTTTTTTCCCTTTCCTCAAATGGTCCCAAAAGTTGTACTGAAAAAATGGGTAAACAAAAGTCTGTGTGTTTATGAGGGAAAAAAAAAACCATGTAGTGTGAAAATGCTTGGATACCAAGATTAGATGAAAGAATTGGCAAGAAGCGAAGTGTGTTGAGAATGAGACAATATGCTACCACCAACACCCAAAAAGAGAGTAAAAAAATGGATGATGGGAGTAATAATAATAGAAGCAAAGCAGGAATAATTCAAAGAGGTGGTTGGTTTCCCAAAAACCTTTTTTCATTCAACGTTCAAAGTAGTAAGCCATATGGGAATGAGAAGATGATGGGGTCAAAATGGGGAGAGCTCCCAGCCCCCTTCTTCCTTCCAAAATTTCAATGTGAACACCATAAAACTAAAACATATGTTTATGTATATAATATATGGGGTTTATTTTAGTAAAATTGGGTTTTGAAAAATGTTTTAATTAAGACGAAGAGCGGTATGTGCACTTATTCTTGAGGGAGATGGGCTTGTTCATGTTGGTGGGGTCCATCACCACCGCGCAGTCCACGCTCTTGTAGAATTTGGGCTTCACCAGTTTGCCCAACACGTTGGCTCTCGACCGGACCGTGAATTGAATGTTCAAGGGAACCGCTTCGACCGGCTCTCCGTTCATGCTGCTCAGGCTGGCCCCGCCTCCGTATAACGGAATGCTGCTTCCTTTAACCGTTACCGTTATCGCTCGCTGGCTCTTCCTCCCTTGATGGAACTTTTGCATCTGCATTTCAAATACATTACTTACCCTTTTACAATACTTTATTTTATAATAAATCTTTCATTTATGTCCAGTAGGTGTCTCCACGCTCTTGTCAAAGCATGTTTAGCTAATCATATATCTACTGAGTCTTATTTATTTCCTTTTCTTTCAATTTTATTTTTGCAATGCTTTCTTAAAGCAGCTGGAGATTACTTTTTCTCTTGTTTCAAGTTCTCAAGAAATGTGAGGGGATTTGAATCTCCAATAAATTAGTTAAAGTTCATATTTCCACGAAACTTATTCTTTTTTATGAAACATTTTATAATTTGTCAACTTGAACATAATTTAGTAATAAAATATTATTTATGTGTTCCTTTGAGATGGAAAGTTTTAATCTCTATCCTCTATATTTGTTGTATAAAAAAAAGACATATTACAAACTTATTTATACATTTAGTTCTTTACAAAAGCAAAAAAGATTTTTTTTTTATTTTCCAAATAAATTTAGATTATCATTGTTTTGTCTTTGAGTTCCATTTACAATTTTAACAACATTCTTGAAAAAGATTATTCAAGAAAACAAAATTAATTTTTAAAAATAAACAAAATGATCAAATGGACTTAATTTGTAAAACAAAACAATAATCAATAAGCCTCAATTCAATATTTTTTTTATATCAATTATCAACTAGATTTACCATATCCGTCCAACTCATATTTTAAATTATGTAGTTTTACAAAATGTTATTCAAGTGTTGACAGTATCAATTAGACTCGTTTTCTTTCAAAAGTTTCAATTCTACATTCTACAGGGTCAAAAAAACACACCATTTCATCAACTTTTCTATTATAAAGAATTTGAGATGTGACATCACAATGAATTGGAAAAACTTAGACACACATGCATGCATGTAAACACTTTCAATTATATTCTTAAATTTTAATCATTTGTCTGTTATTTCAAAGTTCCATTTTAACAAACTTTTTAAATGGTTTCAAAACAACCCATTTCACTAACTTTTTAATTACAATAAAAATAAAAATGTAACCGTGGGTGAATTGTAATTTGTAAAATGGAAGTTACAAAGGGGTAGAAATGACCGTTTAAGGCGCATTCAAAATGATTCCTATGAGGAAGGGAAGTTGATTTAGGGCTCTGAGTTTCGGTTAAAACCTTTTGTCGGTCTTCCATGGTTGGCTTTTAAAATTTTGTTTCCTCTCAAATTTTGTAAGAACAATATTTCATTATAACCCCAAAACTGTTTTCCTGATAACGGTATATGTCTAAAAACTCTAAATCACGTTTTACTTCTGGAAAAGTTAAAAGTTCAGAGAAAAAGTATTGAAATTTTTGAAATAACAGAAACATACTCGACATCTGCCCTAAAGTTTTTTGGATAATTTGTATAATTTAACCGATCCTTTTATTGGTTGATTGAGACGAGAGACGGATCAGAACTGAGAAAGCGGTGCAAATGAAAAGAGTTAGGGATGTCGATTGCTTACATTCCCAGAGGCGAGAGTGAGCTGAGAATACGAAATCTGAAGCGGCGTGGAAGTCACATGAACTTCGAAAAACGTCGCCGTATTTCGAAATATGAACTTCACCGTCGCATTCATCGTCACCAAATCCGTGGCCACCCCTGAAAAATCTGCCCCCGCTTGGATCACGAATTTGTCGAACAAAATACTCTGCCCGGAGAGAAAAAGAAAAAAAAAAAACCGCAAATAATTTCATTAACCAGCCCCCACTTCCTTCAAATTTCCATAATCACTATTTCATTTCATTAAGAAAAGAAAAACGCACTTACTTTCATGAGAATCACGGGTTTCTGAGGGCGGCTCGCACCCCACAAAATGAGAGAAAACAGAGAGAAAAGAACCACAAAGCTTATAACAAAAGCAAGGAAGTAGCAGCGGCGGGTGAACCCATCGGAGCCGCCGTCGTCCTCGAGAAGACGCTCTTCTTCAATGGCGTCGAAGCGCTTCCAGGGCTTGGGAATCTTGTGGGTGGCGGCCGGCTTGCGAGATCCGGGCTTGACGGAGGCGGAGAATCGGGTGGAGGAGGAGTCACGTGAGTGTGGGCCCAGCGAGGAGTTGGAGTGGGAGTGAGGGGGGGACCCCATTGGGCTGAGCACCGGGCTCGAGTGGAAGGAGTTAGTGGTCTTTTCCCCATCGTGGGAATCCCGTGACGGGCTCTGCACATAGTAAACCGGCCGGCGAGAGCTCGGCGACCGCGTGGGCGACGACGGCGTCAGACTGCTGACCTCGGAGTCGGTCTTGGCCAGCACCGACATTATTGGGTGGGGATTAGCGAGTGGCGAAGTAAGAGATATATAAATCAGAAAGCGAAAGATTTAGAAGAGAAGAAGCAAATGCAAAGCAAAGAAGGAAGAGGAGGGGCTAAATCAAAATGTATTAGAATCTGCGGAAGCGTATGCCTTGGGAAAGCACGTTGGTGGGTGTGGAATTCTTTACAGAGTCCGAAGCATTTTATTTTATTTTTGGTGGGAGTGAAGTGAAGGGAAGGCGATTAAATTAATGAGGGCCAAAATTTTAGTACACAATACAGATCTCATCTGGCGAATGACGACGAAGGGCGATCAGAGACAAGTGCAAGATTTTGTGAGATTTATGGGGCTTGGTGGAGGTGGCCCTTTTTCTAACCAATCGTCCTTTTTTTATGGTACGTAAATCTAAATATTTATTGTGAATATGATTGCTGTAGGGTTTAACTATCCAACCAATTACCAAACTTCGTGTTTCCGTCTAAGTAATTTTAGTTTCTCTTTTGTTGTAAAATGAAAATGTAGTCAAAGCGAAAATGAAAATGTAGTCAAAGCGAGCATAGTTCGTCAGTAAAAAAAGAAAACGAATATGGTTTAGCTGTAATTGACATATATCTCAAACCAAAAGACTGTGAGTTTGATCTCCACCTCCACATGTTGTAGTTAAAAAAAAATCTAAATGAAAATGTATTCAAATTGAGAATAAGATTGACGGGATTGTAGAACATAAATGAGAATACACTTTGAGAGAGTGATTTCCAAGTTTGAGATACGTTCTACCAATTGATTTCATTCCTATAATTTACTTAGATTTTAGGTTTTTTTCCTTTTAAACATGAAATTTGACTTAACCAGTAATACAGATCATCAAATTACTGTACATTATAGATGCATTTAAATCATGGAAGAGATATTTTGGATTCCGTGGGTGAGTAGGAGGTGGTTTATTTCGGACTAAAATTAAAGTTATTTTTGTTGAAGATCTGTAATACACCAAATAATAATAATAACAATAATATGTTTAATGGTACATTTAGATTATGAAGTCTATATTTGCACGTTGGCAAGGAATGAGTTATATAAATTTGGGTTCTTCTCAGTTAGATTTGTTGATAATTGTTATTATCTGTAGATGTCATCGTGTAATATACAAATGTAGTATATATATGCTTTTAGTAGATTCGTAGTTTGAGATTAACAAACTCATGTACCAAATATAAATTTAACTTTTTAAATTTAAAGTTATACGACCCAAGAGTCTAAGATATTTTCATAATAACTAAAGTAATAATCACAATAAAAAATGTGCAGATCTTAATATTTATTGCATTGATTTTTATTTTTCCTTTTTTTTATTATTATTATTTTGCTTGTAAGAATATCATCTAGATCTCTAGCTTTAGGGTATGGGCCTCGCTGAGTTTGGACTGCTGTTCTTAGTGTGGGTCAGCCCAATAATGACTTGGAAATTTTAGACCACGTTGCCAGATTTTAGTTCCCATTTTAATTTTCACGGTAATTAGTATTCTAATCATTGTATTTATCACTTTTTAACTTTTTTCTTCCTTTCTTTCTTTCTTTTTTTTTTTAATAGAAAATCTCACTTTTAACTTTTAAATTGTCATCCTCCATTTATTTTAATTTTATTTTCGAAGAAAGCTCATTTATTTTATTTTAGTGTACAGATATAAAAATAATAATTTAAGCACTCTGATATCAATTATTTTATTAATAATAATAACAATAATAACCCACAGTAAAGTTGACATTGATACATAAATGTATGTTAGTAGGTAAGTCTATGTCGTACTATTCAAATGTCCACACAGTGTTTCACATCATTTTCTTGTTTGAAAAAATATATAGTTATCCATGTAAAAAATAGACTTTTATGGATATGAAACCATCTAAATGGTGTTTTATAATGATTAATTTTTAATTTTTTTTGTTTAGTTGAATAATTATAAGGTAAAAGACTGAAGTATCAAAATTTGAGACATTAATGAATATCTTATTTTTTTTAGTTGTGTTCGATAATAGGTTTTAATGCATTCTTAGTTACATAAGAAAACATCGTATTGACAAACTCTCATGGATCTCCCTAATATTTTTTTCGAAATTTGTTGGAATAATTTAATGGATTCTAACCATACTAAACAACTAGCAAATGAACTTATTTACTTATGTCACTTAACTTCTCAATCAAAATTTCATAACATATTTTGCAACAAATAGTTTAAAAATCTCCCAAAACAAAAAGTTATCAAAAATTAAAGAAACAAAAAACAGTATTCAACACGAAGAAGAAAAATACCTCGATAGGAAAAAAAGGGTTTATTGTAGTCTGCAAGTTAATTTGGATTAATTTTCTTTTTCTAACCAATCTTATAAGATCAATTGAAGTGCATGAAAGCTATACCACAAAATGTACAGGAAAAGAATAGTCGGAATGAAATAGTAGGAAGAAGATAAAGTAGGAGATGCTATCCCAAATGAAATAAATATATCTATAGATCTAATACATTTTAAATAAAAAATTAAACTTTATAAAAAAAATAGTATACAAATTTTAAAATGATTGCAATTTATTTAGGTAAATAGATAGGGAAATAATTTAAAATAAATCAAAGTGGGAGAATTTAAAATTTCAATCGGTCAGTTAAGCAAAAATTCTTATTTTTATACAGCTAATGGTAACTCAAAAAAGAAGAAAAAAAAAATTGATTAACACGCGGGTGTGAGAACGACTTCAACAAAAGAATTAGATATTGGAAAGTCTCCTCTCATAAAATTATACAAAATGGTGATGCCTACTTAACTAAATTAAATAATGCCCATCCATCATCTAATGACTTACCGCCCAGATTCTGGTGAGGGCACAATTGGAATGTAAAATAACATTTTAGGGCTACAATTCCTATATTCATAATTTAATTTGTATATCTAGACTTGTTCTGAAAACTCTATAGTTAAAGACGGCGGTAACAAAACTCTGTTTTTCTTTCCTTTTTCCCTCAAAAAAGGAGCCCTAATTTTCTCAATTTCAGTTATCACTCTCGCTACCCCTTTCTCCTCCTCCATCTCAGATTCGAGCTTCAGCTATCATAAATCCAACGCCCGCGACCAGCCGGCCGTCCGCCACCTTTTCACGGCCTCCACAGACAGCCACCCGCTCTTTATCCTTCTCGATCGATCGTTTTGCGGCTTGCGGACTAAGCCACTCGCCTCCCAACCTTCCATTATTTGCTTTCTCTTCCTCGGTAACATTGAATTCCTATTCACATTTTCATTCTTTTCGGCTTCTTTGAGTTATGCCCTCTTGTTCCGCCCCATCCCCCCCATCTTTGATTTCTAGTAAGATTGAAATACTTGTTGATCCTTTTGACAATTTGTTCGTGTTCAAAATCGGTAGTGCTAGCTTCGTTTTAGGTTTTTTTCCCCTTTCCATTTGAATTTACCAGATTGATTGTATTTTGTAGTGAGGGCACCGGGTAGCTAGTCCTCTTGTTGTTGCCAATTTCTGTTTACTTTATGAGAATGAGAATGAAAATGGGGGAGATTCATAATGAAAATCAATTGGAGAGGTGCAATATGATTGATATTGTTTACTAAAGTTTGAATTCTCAATTTATATTAATGTGGGATCGTCACTAAGATTAAGATACAAATTTAGTATTAGGGAAAAAATAGAGTCGAATCATAACGACATTCCTTTCGTTTTCTAAAATTAGGAATGATTATTGGCTTTAGTAGGACTTAACTGCGGTAAACACATATACTGAGATAGAGGGAGCATGATTTTTATTCTTGACACATCAATATACCCATGACGCAGCGGTTGTGAGTTGCCTACAATTTAAAATTTATAATTAAACAGGTGCAAGTAATTTAAGGTCAAATGTCATTTGTATTTCTTGATCAACGATGATAACTGTAGTGTAGTTGCAATTTTTTTTAATAAAAAACTTGATATTAAGCAAGCTAGAATGACTACAATTTAGCCATCAGTTACTAGTAAAGTGATTAATGTCTTAGTGTATCAATAAAGTAGATCATAACCACTATTTGGCATGAGCTGACCTAGTAGTCGTTGGGCCTATGTAAAGAAGTTGGAGAAAATGAGTTCAACCTATTGTAGCTACCTATCTAGGATTTCAAATTTTACGAGTTTCCTCAACTTTGAGGTATTAAAAGTGAATTGATTTTTCTCATGTCAGGAAAGTCATATATTACCGTAGACCAAAAGGGACTCGATTTTTCTCATGTCAAGAACGTCTTAAATTTGGTGATGCCCAAGCTCTAGAACAGTACCTACTCTCTAAGGTTGAATTCTTTAGAAAATGCTTGTATGAATCTCTCGTCATCTGCACATGATACTGTAGACCAAAAGGGACTCAATCTTATAGGACTGGATCAAGTCTTGCAGATCAAGAACCTTGCCCTTAGAGGGATGGTTATCTGTTTTGAGAAGCAAAAGCAAAATGGAAAGGAACTCATAATTTTCCAGATTTTAAAGAGGTAGGACCATAGGAGAGAAGTGGAGAGGAGAGGAGAGGAGAGAGGAAGGAGATGACATGGAAATGAGAAAGAGAGAGAGGAGAAGTGGGAGGAAGAAGACAAGTCAGAAGAGGGAAGAGAGATGAGGTAGAGAGGGTTGACAGGTCACATAAAAAGAATATAAGAATGATTAAAAAGTCATGTCATTAAAAAATCTGCCACATTAGTAATTTTGTGAAGACTGCTAGTGCTAAGTAATTTAGTGATAGAGACTAAAAGCAAGTATTTAATGAACTTTAGGAATTGTTTTTTCAATTTTGAAATTATAGAGGTCAAATAGAATTGAAACCTTACCTGAACTACAAAGGCTAAAAGTGTTTTTTTTTCTTTCAATGATTTACTAATTTGAAAAGTTTGGTTTTTCTGGAATGTTTAGCAATCATAAATTTTAAAGATTATATATATCCATCCATTCCTGTGCAAGCTTTTAATTGCCAACCTCAAATCCAACAGTTCTCGTTGTTACAAGCTTTAGTTGTTATATGTTGCTGCTAAAGTAATTTTAATACATGCAGATATTTGATGTTGGGGAGCATAAAGAAGGCGGCGCGTTCACTTCATATAAGTCACAGAGTCAGCCATTTAGAAGTGAGGAACAGCGGGAAAATTGTTACCGTAGAGCCACTCTTGCGCAACAAATTGTTCTCACATTATAGATTTTTAGCCCGAGCATATCCTTCCTTCCCATTGTACTGCACAACAAGAAGTTTAAGCTGGACTAGGAATTCTAGAAACTTTTGTGTATGGACAACTAGTAATGTTGTTAAACATCATGCTCAATTTGTTTGGAAAAAGCTTTCCGGCAAATTATCCTCCAATGGCCATAGTTTTCCCACCATAAATGAAGTTGCTCGAGCATTCACCTTGGCCATGTCTCGTTCTCACCTGATAGTACCTGGTATATTTGCTTTTACATGCGGCGAGCTAGCATGTGCCCAAAGAACATTCACAAACATAGACCACTATCCATCTCATAATTCTTTCTACATCCGTGCACAAGATGGACATGCCTATGTGATCTCACTACTATTTTCTACTTTAGAAGGCGTGATATTATTACTTAGAGCCCTTTATTTAGCAATCCTGTTCTCACCTAGCATATTGATGGCTCCATTTGCGGATGCCTTTGGATCCCGCTTCAGGAAACTCTGGCTTCAGGTTGTTCACCGTTCATTGGAAAAGGGTGGCCCGGCATTCATTAAATGGGGTCAGTGGGCAGCAACACGGCCTGATCTCTTTCCTCGAGATTTATGCATTGAGTTATCAAAGCTTCATACTAAGGCTCCAGAACATAGCTTTGCCTACTCAAGGAAAACTATTGAACGGGCATTTGGTAGAAAGCTTTCTGAGATATTTGAGGATTTTGAAGAGAAACCTGTTGCATCAGGAAGTATTGCTCAAGTACATCGAGCTCATTTGAAATTTCGATACCCTGGTCAACAAATCAAGCCCATGGTGGTTGCTGTAAAAGTCAGACATCCCGGGGTTGGTGAATTAATTAGGAGAGATTTCATTATAATTGATTTTGTAGCAAAAGTCTCAAAGTTTATTCCTACTCTCAATTGGTTGAGATTAGATGAAAGTGTGCAGCAATTTGCTGTTTTTATGTTGTCTCAAGTTGACCTTGCAAGGGAAGCTGCTCACTTGAGCCGCTTTATTTATAATTTTAGACGGTGGAAGGATGTTTCATTTCCCAAACCCGTCTATCCACTTGTCCATCCTGCTGTTTTAGTGGAAACTTATGAACAAGGGGAAAGTGTTTCACACTACGTTGATGAGCTTGAAGGATATGAAAGACTAAAGTCAACGTTGGCACACATTGGGACGCATGCTCTTCTAAAAATGCTTCTGGTAACATAACTTGTATATATTGTTACTGTAGCCTTGCCGACTGATTTTCCTTCTTTTAAATGGTTTTCATTTTTCTCTGCTAAAAACCCATTCTGTTCTGTGTCTCCCTTCACATGAACTCATCTAATGGCAGCTGTTTTAATTTCATGGATGTGTTTGCATCTTAAAATTTTATCCAATTCCGCAGTTGCTTCTTTAGTTAGTGTTGCACTTTTCTGGATTCGAAGGAGTTCAATTTTCCTTTCTTCAGGTGGACAACTTTATACATGCAGACATGCACCCTGGAAATATCCTTGTCAGAGTTTCTCATGGAAAGTCACCTCAGAAGCGACTCTTCAAATCAAAGCCTCATGTTGTCTTCCTTGATGTAGGCATGACTGCTGAACTTTCTGGAAGTGATAGAGTAAATTTACTGGAATTTTTTAAGGCAGTTGCTCGTAGGGATGGCCGCACTGTTGCTGAGCGCGCCCTTAGGTTAGCAAAACAACAAAATTGCCCTAATCCAGAGGCATTTATCGAGGTAAAATGATGTGTATCATTATTATTTTTTGTGAGCTTTTAGAATAATTGTGGTTTAGGTTATCGGCTGCAGAGTTGGGCGTCGAATTTCTTTGATAACTGCACTGGTTTCTTGTTTCGCATATTGAAGAAACATTCTTGGAATTGTATTCAAAATTTTCGATCATAAAATTTTGGATTCTTGTGTCTAGATAATTTTTTGAAAAAATCATTAAGAGTAGAGTACTATTTTATCGGCTTCTACTTATAAAATGAAAAATATTAATATCAAATAAAGTGACACAATAAGTAATGAATATTTTGTTTTTAAAAATTTGATTTTCGAGCATGACTTTCATTTTTTGTATTCTTAAAATTTGAAGTACAAGAAATAAGATATGGTTTGAGCCTACTTTAGTTTCTCTTTTCAATAAGAAAAAGAATGAAGAAACAATTATCAAACATCTTTTTTTTTTCTTTATTAGAAAACAGAAAATAAGAAATAGAAATAAAAAACAAGAAAGGGGTTAACCAATGCGCTTTTAATTTATTGTTGGCTCCTCTTGTGAATTTTAGATTGAGATTTTCTTTACCTCATGAATTTCTTCATAAGGTTTGATTGTAATTTCTGTGGGAGTATTTCTGATCATCTGCTTCTTACAGGAAGTGACAGAGGCGTTTGCTTTCTGGGCTACTCCAGAAGGCGATCTAGTTCATCCAGCTGAAGCCATGCAGGAATTACTGGAGAAAGTGAGGCATCATAGAGTCAACATCGATGGGAATGTCTGCACTGTGATGGTGACGACATTGGTTCTTGAGGTAACTTCTGTCTGCTTTGCTATATTGACAAGATTGTATTTCTGCTACAACGTTTTCTCCCCCTTTCTAGTATGTATTTTAAAGTTTTCGAGAATGCTTTTATGGTCCAATGACCATGAATGACCCCATTTGGCAAACACTGATATTTTTCTATGGTTACTTGTATATCTCATTTGGATAGGGTTGGCAACGGAAACTTGATCCTGCTTATAATGTGATGCAAACGCTGCAGACGCTATTACTAAGAGCTGATTGGGCGAAGTCTCTTTCCTACACAATTGAAGGATTGATGGCCCCGTAGGTTAATGTTTTTGGCTGTCTGATCTGCTCCAACAAAACAATTTTGACGATGTAAAGGAGAAAGAAGTTACAAATATTAAGTTTGATATGTTATATTTATTCACATCATTTTTTCCCACTAAGCTTTTACTTTAGTTTTTTTCAGCCCAAATCTCAGTAGATGAAAGTATAAAGCAAATAATGTGGTAAAGAGCCCAAATATTCTTTTGATTTTACAGTGTAAAGATAGCATCCTCTGCTCCTGGTAAACAGAAGCAACAGATAAAAACATTACCTTCATAACTGTTTCTCATTTGTATTTGATTTCCTGCACATTGGGTTAAATAAACCACTCTCTTGACTGTATTATAGTAATAGATATATGTGATCTTGGTACGCATTTCTTGCTCGATGAGAAGCCCAGTTTTAGATGTTCTTGTTTGTACAGAGATTTCAGTTGTAAATGTCGGATATTAAACACCCACGAGGCTGTCTGAAAATGAAGGGTTATGTTAAAAATGCATGCTATTCCTAAACTATATTAATAAAGTATTAATTCCTTTGAGGTGGTTGTATTTTGGTCAATGTTTTGCATTACTAAATTTAGCACGTCTTTAGTTTTCCCACTTGTCCATTCGTTGATATATATTTAGTTAATTTATTTTGATTAGCAAAGTCATAAAACTTTTAAGATTTTGTCTAATAAGTTTAAAATCTTTCTAATAAACTCTTAAACTTTCAGTTTTTTTTTCCTTTCCTAATAGGTCCATAAACTTTCAACTTTGTGTCCAATGAGTCATTGAACTTAAAAAATAAAAATAAAAATCTAATAAAGTATCTAATAGATATAAAATTAAAAGCTCGTGTACCTATTAGACGCAAAATTGAAAGTTTGAAACTTTGGATACCAACATTTTAAAAGTTCAGCAGCCTTATATTAAATACAACAGGTAATTTAACCAATTAAATTTATTCAATAAGAGGTAAAACTAAATTTTATATATAAATATAAAAGAAAGAAAATGAAATTTTGAAATCATAAATCGTTTTTTTCTTTTCTGAAGAATTATAGACTTTTATGTAATTATTTGTTTTCTAAAATAATTTACTAAAACTCTTTTATGCATTTTCATTTATATTTGACATGAAGAAAAAATAAATATAATTTAAGAATAAACTAAAAAAAATATAGTATGTTTTTTTTTACATTAAATCTAAACTGTAATATATCAAATCAATCAAATGATGAAATTATAAGTCTAAATTTTTTACTGTGAACTGAAATAAAAAAAAATATTAAAAAA